CAGCCAGGCACCCCAGAGAATGTTCTGTGTCTTGAGAGGGGTGTGGGTTACATGGACACATGCATATCAAAACTCATTAAAATATAATCTGTGCATTTTACTCTATATAAGTTATACCTCAAAATTAAAGGCAAAAAATTAGATAATCTGTACATTTTACTCTATATAAGTTATACCTCAAAATTAAAGGCAAAAAATTAGATAAATTTCATTCATAATCATGACAAATAAGTTTTAACAATATAAAGATGGAAGATAACTTCTTTGACATGATGAATTAAAACCCCCTTATCAAAAGCCTATTTTAAAAAAGTCTATTGAAAACATCAACATTTTAGTGCAAAATTTAGAAACCTTTTAATCAAAGGCAGCTAGAAGACAGAGATACCTGCTGATAGCCATACTGGTCAATACTGTATTTACCATTGCAATAAAACAAAAGAATGACAGAGACGGCATGACTTTTTACTACACACCCTTTTTAAAATTTTTTTTAACATTTTATGTATTTATTTGAGAGAGAGAACAAGTGATAGGGGGAGGGGCAGAGGGAGAAGCAGGCTCCCTGCTGAGCAGAGGAGCTGAGAAGAAGCTTAGCTCCCTGCTGAGCAGAGAGCCTGACCAGGGGCTTGATCCCAGGACCCTTAGATCATGACCTGAGCTAAAGACAGACGCTTAACTGACTGAGCCACTCTGGCACCCCTACTACACACCTTTGAATATTTCTTAAAGCATGTGAATATAATGCCTATTACAAAATTAAATGAAAATATCATAAATAAATGTTGCTGCTTTAGCTAGGGAAAAAAATAAATGAGCTATAATAATTTGAAATGAATATCATCCTTTTCTGACAATATTATCTGTATAAAAAAAATGCAAGGGGCGCCTGGGTGACACAGTCGGCTAAGCATCTGCCTTTGGCTCAGGTCATTATCCCAGGGTCCTGAGATTGAGTCCCACATCTGGATCCTTGCTCGGCGGGGAGCCTGCTGCTCCCCCTGCTTGTGCTTTCTCTGACAAATAAATAAAATCTTAAAAAAAAAATCCAAGAATATCTGTAGACAGGTTACTAGACTTCTGGTGTCTCTTCCCCTTGTAAGGAAACCAGTTTTATTGGATTAGGGACCCGTTCTTGTGACCTCATTTAACCTTAATCACCTCCCTAAAGGCCTTACCTCCAAATACGGTGATGTTGGGGGTTCGGGCTTCAACATATGCATTTTTTGAGGGGACAAAATTAAGTCCATAACAATTAGACTCACTAGTTCATTAGTGTTTCGATTATGCATTGTATAAAACCATCCCAAAACTTGTTTTATTGTCTCAATGCAATAATAATAATCCAATATTTCTCATGATCCTACATGTAGCCAGCTGGTTCCTTTGCTTCATGTGGTGTTTATAACACAATTTTTTTCACTAGCACAAAACATGGTTTACCATCCTTCTGGACTTCAAGAGTAGTTTCCCCACTGCTTTTTCAAGCTTCTGCTAACAGTCTCCTCGTTGCCCTGGTAGACTCTCTCCACTGTCCCAAAACCCAAGTCCCAAAGCCATGCCACATGCATTACGTCATTCCTAGAGCAGCATCCCACTTCCAGGTACCAATTTCTCATTCAGCTAGTGTTTGTTGTGGAATAAAATACCCCCAAACTTAATGGCCCAAATCACCAACAATTCATCCTTTCATGCAATTCTGTGGGTTGGCTAAGCAATTCTCTGCTGCTTTCGCTTAGGCTCCTTCACGCAGCTGCATTCAGCTGGCAGGTGGCTGGGCCCTGAACTTAACTGGGACAGCTGGGTTTCTCTTCCCATATGTTCTTTTATCCTGGCCTTCATTATGGTATGGTGGTCTCAAGGCAGCATTCCAAGAGAGTGAAATCAGAAACCATATCACTTCATGTACCCCAAGCTCTGGAGCTTGCAAATTTTTCCCTTTTGCCACATTCTACTGGGTAAAGCAAACAGCAAAGCTGGCCCAGATACAAGAAGCGGGGAAATAGGCTCCACCTAGAAGGAGATGCAAAGAATCTGTGGCCATATTTACCACAGAAAGTTATGCCATGTTCCTAGACGGAAAGACTCAATATCATAAAGATGTCAGTTCCTTCAAATAAATCTGCATGATGTCATATCAACCGAAAATCCCAGCAGGGTATTTCAGGAAACTTGGTTTAAGCGGTTCCTAAAATTCATATGGAAGAGCAAAGGGCTCAGTGAAAGAGAGCGGATTCTTGAGGTCTTTGAGCTATTCACTTAACTTCCCTTGGTACCTCCTGAGTGATGTGCAGAGCAACGAGCAAGTCATGTGAAGCCCATACTATATGCGGCGTAAATGAGATGTAACACACCACAAATGGCTTGATGGAGCAATTCGCCTTATGATTTAATAGTGAAAACATTGATGTTAACTAGACATAGTGTGGTGATCATTTTGCAACACTGTGCGGTATATTAGATCGCCAAAATGCTTTTGTCTTATGACTGGAAGATTGTACTTTTAGATCAACATCTCTCTATTGCCCCGCAACCCTGGCCCCTGGTAACCATCATTTTTGAGACTTCGCATAAAAACCCCCTTATCCTTGTATATTCTTCAGATACATACTTCTATTCATAGGAGTTTGGCTTTTCTAGATTCTATATATAACTGATATACAATATTTGTCTTTCTCTGTCTTACCTCTTTTGCTTAGCATAGTGCCAATAAGATATATTTTTAAGGCACATATTTCTACTAGAAAATACCCTAATTATAGACTTCACTTTTGGTGAGTTAAAAACTTTGTGATTTCTCTCTCAATTTTTGAAAAGTACAGAAGAATTTGCAATTGTGGAAAGTTTATTTTTTATTATGTTTTATTTTTGTTTGTTTTTTTAGTAATCTCTACACCCAATGTCGGGCTTGAACCCACAACCCTGAGATCAAGAGTCACATGCTCTTCTGACCAAGCCAGCCAGGCGCCCCTGTAAACTTGTGGAAAGTTTTAAATTGAGGAGATGCTAAAGAAGCGCATGTGGAGGGGAGAGGGGTGAGGGAGATGGGGTAACTGGGTGATGGACATTAAGGAGGGAACGTGATGTAATGAGCACTGGTATTACATAAAACTGATGAATCACTGAACTCTACATCTGAAACTAATAATACATTGTATGTTAATTAAAAAAAAGAGACCAATGTCCCAAAACTGCAGCCCCACCCCTTCCTCTATCACCCAGAGGGGAGGAGAGCACAGACTCAGTTTCCAAAAATACTTCTTAGCCTTCTGTATCTTTTGGTATCTTCTTTTAAACAGAGATTGGTAGCCATGGGACCAACAGCTTTTTCAGTCTGTCTAGTTAGCAGAAAAATAAAACATTGTTTTCCAGATGCCATGTTGATTAGAAAAGAAACCATCTATCAAAACCCAATCATGCTAGCTCTGTTGATTGTATAGTGATATAAGATGTTATTCATAAAACTGAAAAAAAGTTAATAAAGGAATATAATTCTTTTTCAAAAATTCAATCAATGCAACTCATTGGAAAAAAAACATAGTTATCTCAATAGATGCACAGAAAGCATGATCAAGAAAAATAATATCTCTCAACAAACTACAGTTGACCTTTGAACAATGCAGAGGTGGACCCACCCTCTGGTGCTTCGAAAATCCTCATATAACTCTTGAAACCCCATAAACTTAACTGCTAATAGCCTACTCTTGACCAGAAGCTTTACCAATAACATGCAGTTGATTAACACATATTTTATATATTATATGTATTATATAGTATATTCTTACAATAAAGTAAGCTAGAGAAAAGAAAATGTTTAGAAAATAACAAGAAAAATACATTTATATTACTGTACTATAGTTATAAAAAAAATCTATGTATAAGTGGATTCATGCACTTCAAACCCATGTTGTTAAAGGGTCGACTGTAGGAAGAGAACTACCATAAATTCATCAAGACTTTTAAAAATCAGCAACTACATTTTACTTTAGTGAATTTTGAACATTTGCGTTTTGAGTTGGAATTAAAACAGGAATGATCACTATCACCACTTCTGTTCTACATTGTACTGGAGGTACCAGTCAGTGCTACAAGGCAAGAAGAAAAAAGAAACAAAAGGCAGGCACCTGGGTGGTCCAGTCAGTGAATCATCTGCCTTCGGCTCAGGTCATGATCCCAGGGTCCTGGGATCGAGCCCCACAGTGGGCTCCCTGCTCAGCGGGGAGCCTGCTTCTCCCTCCTGCTCTGATCATGTGCACTCTGTCAAATAAATTTTTTAAAAATTTAAAAAACAAAAGGTAAAATAAAAAGTAAAAATACTTTTTTTGGAAAAGAAAAAGTAAAGTTGTCATTATTTGCAGACAATATGATTATGCATGTAAAAAATCCAAATGAATGTACAAACTATTAGGATTAATAAGCACAGTTACTGGAAACAACTTCAATATCTTTTTGTCTCCTTTCAGCGTACATTTTTTCAATAAATGTTTTACCATGGGGCGCCTGGGTGGCTCAGTTGGTTAAGCGACTGCCTTCAGCTCAGGTCATGATCCTGGAGTCCCGGCATCGAGTCCCGCATCGGGCTCCCTGCTCAGCAGGGAGTCTGCTTCTCCCTCTGACCCTCTTCCCTCTTGTGCTCTCTATCTCTCATTCTCTCTCTATCAAATAAATAAATACAATCTTAAAATAAATAAATAAATAAATAAATGTATGTTTTACCAAACAAAATTAAAAAAAAAAAGTGCATGTGGAACTGGAGGTAGTTTGAAAATAAACATAACAGAAATCCAACCTGTTATGGTGAGAATGGCAACTCTCTTGAACTCAAGAAAGAATGAAATGCCAATGACAGCAAAACTTCTTTCTCTAACCTTAAGCAGAAAGGTCTCTAATACCAGCAGTTTCTGGCATTCACACACAAACCCAGAAAGGCTACCTATTATTATATAAAACAAAAGCCAATTATAGTGTGGTAAAGTACAAATCGCCTAAAAGCAGAAGTCAATAGAAGAAAAACTACTGGTTTACATGAGAGAAAGGAGAACACCTCATTCTGAGCCGTCACTTGGTGAATGTGGCCACCACTGCCCACAGGACCTCACTGGTGTTGACCTTCAGACATTCCACTTCAGGATCTAAGTCAAGGAGCTGCCGCACTCTCTTGGTGGCTAAATCATATTGCTCGTCCAGGAGGGGAGCGAAAGCATTCTCCAGGACATCGGAGGCGTGCGCTAGGTAGATGAGGGCCAGCAAGCGCTTGTCCATGCGGTGAGGGTCATTCACCCATTTGTCAAGAACAGCTTCCTGTACCTTCTTGATGAGGCGCTGCTTAATATTGTTGTTGGTGAGGGGATGTGTCGTCATGTCAAAAAGTAGGAAGTTCTGTTTCTCTGTTGTCAACACGCCCTTCTCCATCAGATATTTAATCATTCTTGCATTTTTTTGTTTTTTAAAAAGATTTTATTTATTTATTTGACAGAGAGAGCACAAGGGGTCGGGGAACAGCAGTCAGAAAGAGAGAGAGAAGCAGGCTCTCCACTGAGCAAGGAGCCTGATGTGGGGCTTCATCCCAGGACCCTGAGACATGACCTGAGCCAAAGGCAGATGCTTAACCAACTGAGCCACCCAGGCACTCCTTGAACGTTTCTTAACTGATGATACAATTCTAAGAGATTCCACATCTCACCTAAACAAAAGTTTTTAAGAATCAGAGAATTTCAGCTTTATTTTTTCATACTCTAAATATGAATAGCAAAATGCGTTCATGGTAGCTGGTGTGTTTCTTGGAAGTAGAATACGAAAAGTATTTTATGCCAGAGTCTGTATTCCCAGAATGTGAACATCTTGTGGGACAGGAATCGTATTTCATTAATCTCTGTAGCCCCAGCACCAGGTGTATTTCCTGCAACATACTACTTTGTCAATAAACATTTATAAAAGAGAATGAACAAACTATTCCAATACACAAGTTAGAATAGACGATTTTTTTCCTTAGGCTCCCCCTTGGCTGTGAAAGTTCTTCAGACTCTCCTTGTTTTGAGGACTTTGACAATTTCGAGAAGCACTGGTCAGGTACTTTGGAATTGTCCCTCTATTGGGATTTGTCTGACGTTTTTCTCATGATCAGACTAGGATCATGGGTTTTGGGAAGGGAGACCACAAAGGTAAAGTGCCATTCTCCTCATATCATATGAGGGGTAGACACTATGAACATGACTTATCACTGTTAACATTGACTTTGGTCACCTGGCTGAGGAAGCGTTTGGCAGGTTTCTCCATCACAAAGCTAATCTCCCCCGTCCCTCTGCATTCTGGACTCTTGCACTGCGAGGAACGCACATTTAAGGTGTGGTGAGTTATACTGCACTTCCTTGAGGGCAAGGTATTTATATACATTATTTGAAATTGAAAGTTTTATTTGTCGTTACCAAATTAAGTGGAGATTCTCATTAAATATGGCTGGTTGAATAAGTATTTGCGACGAAAATGCTCCGCGAATGAGAGCAGAAGGATTTTTTAGAGGCACAAACCTAGGAGACTAGGAACGGAAACAATAGCTGTAACATTTTGGACACTGCAAAGTAAGTGGAAAAGCGGTCGATGGATTAGTGGAGCCAAGAAAGCTAATCTCAATGTGCCAGTGGGTAAAGCAGAGAGGTAACCTACTTTACACGCAAAATACCCAGGCTCAGAAATGGGCACCAGTTACCTGTGGAAATAGGCAAGAAAGAGAGAGAATGGTAGGGCTAAAAATAGATTGTTTCAAAATCTTTTTCGAAACTACCATCTCCAGATCTTCTCTTCTGCTCTGAGCAGCCAGCCTCATAGAAGAGAATAAAACAGAAGGTCTCTGGACTCAGGTACACAAAGCACAGTCAAAGGAGCCAGGAATCTTGTACTGAAAACAGGGCCATCAAAAAAGTATATGTCCTAAAATTTGTGACATCTTAGCCTTCTCCTTCTTCTCAACTCCTGGAGCACCGGAAGCTAGGATTATATCCTCCAGCCAAGGTATGAGGAGGGTCATCTCTGGAAAATTCCACCAGCCCAAGAGAAAAGAATGAAAAACATGGACAAGATAATTTCCTCAAAGAATTACACTGAAACCCCCACTGCGCCACCTCCCATCATGGACAGTTTCCAAATAACTTTTTTGGCCTCTCTAAATATGAGCAAACTGCAAGGGAGTGCATTCATTTGGCAAACCCCTCTAAATGGTGAACCATGGAGTTCAACATAAAATATTAAAATAACAAAAGGATGTGATTACCCTAAAGTGGAAACAACCCAAATGTACAGTCAATGGGTGAATGACAAAATGGGGTACATTCACACAGTGGAATACATTTCAGCAATAAAAAAAGGAATGGACTGGTGATGTGCATTGCAGCAAGGATGACCTTCAAACACAGCACGTGCAGTGACAGAAAGCAGACACAGAAGATCTGATCTCGTATGATTCTATTTATACGAAATGTCTAGAAAAAGCAAATGTCTAGAGACAGCAGATTATTGGCTGATTGGGACTAGTTGGGAATGGAGATGAATTGCAAATGGGTCCATGAGATCTCTTGGGGGTAGTGGAAATATTCTAAAACTGGATTGTAGTGATGGTGGAATGAGTCAATGAATCAGTGAATTAGACACTTAAAATGAGTGATTTTAATGACATAAGAATGATATCCCAATTAAAAAAAAAAGAATGATATCCCAATAAACCTGTTTAAAAAAAGAAACTCAGAGAAACAAACTATGGAGGAAGAAGAAAAAAAGTCATTACTGTCCTCAGAGAAATAAGAGATGGTGTATATCCATCCAAAGGAACAAGATGATAGTTTTTAAAAGAATATTTGGAGGAGAACAACAACAACACTAGAAAAATAAAAACTGGATGGCAGAAATGAAAAACTGAGTAGAAAAGTGGAAGACATGGTTAGGGAATCCAAAATGTAGAGCAAAATGGTGAGTAACTGGACAATAAGAAAGAAAACATAAGAAGTTGGATGGTTGATTCAGGAGGCCTAACAGCTAAATGATAGGAGCTCCGGAAAGAGAGAGAGGAAAAGAATGGTGGAGAAAAGTATATAAATAAAATAACATAAAAGAATTTTCCAGAGCTGAAGAACATGAGCTTCTTCTCAGAAAGGCCCTTTGGGTATCCAGCACATTGACTAAAAGACAAAAAACAAAAGCAAACAAAAACCCTGACCAACAATAAAAAAAACAACAAAAGACTCATTATCGTGAAATTTCAAACACTGGGAATAAACAGAGGACTCTAAAAGCCTCTGGTAGGAATGGAGGGGGTGGGGTAGAGGCGGGGGGGATGGTGAGACAGATAATGAACAGAAGACTATGAGTAAGAATGGCATCAAACTTCTCAAATGGGAGGTAGAAGATAATAGGGTTAGACCCTCAAATTTATTTTTAAGTTAATTTTTTAACCAAGAATTCTATATTTAGCCAAACTCTCCATCAAGTGAAAGAGTAGAAAAGAGACAATTTAGACATGCAGAGCCTCAAAAAAATATACTTCCCAAACATCTTTCTTGGGAAGCTATTTGAGGATGTGCTCAAGTGTGGATGAATGCAAGACACACACACCCACTCACACAAAAGGGCTCAACTTAGAAAAAGGATACAGGGCTATGGGGATCCATGGGGTTGAGGAGCCAGGATTCAATGAAGACAAAGAGAATTCCTAGGGCGATGGCAAACGGAAGACCCAACCAAACAGGAGCCAGGTGCCCACAGAGGAACCATCCAGACTGGGCTAGCAGGGTGAGGCACCAGGAGGACCCTCTGAGACTGAAGTGGGTGGGTGCGGGAGGCGGAGGGCGAGGGTATCATTCTTCAAGCACCTGACATGTTTTGTATAAAATTGAACTGAGAGGCACTTTATGGAGCTGTTGAGGATGTGTGACTATTTAGTCAGTTGTTCAAAGAAAATTAAGAAAATGTTTTAAAATGAGGTAATTATTAACTCCAGAAAAAAATAAGTTATGTAAGTGAGGATATGTAATCACTGTTTAAACCACATGCAACATACACATGGTCAAAATTATGAGAACACTGAATATAGATTTAACAGATATTTGAGATATCATTTTATTGAGAAGATGATGGAAAGGAAAGGGAGATATAATTGAGCTAAAATCCTTATTATCTGTAATTGTATAAATCAACAGGTAAGTCTATTCAGGTGAATCGATGGATAGCAGTATGTACATATTATTTAGAAATGAAGAAAAATCAGAGAAAAGAGCTAAAAAAATTGAAATTGTGTACTTGATGGATGATGGGATTGGAACATGAAGAGAAGGGATTGTTGTTTTGTAAAAATCACTTTTAGTAATATTTGATCTTTTATACTATTCAAACATAACATGCTGATAAAAATAAAAGTGGATTTAATGATAATTATAGTCATTTTATTGAAAGAAAAAAATATGTCTTTGAAATTATATAATACCAAAAAATAGGAAACTTCAAATTATAGTATTAATACTCAATTTAATACGCATAATCATATGAAATAATACCAAAAAGATGTGATTTGGAAAATCCATTTTGCACTTTATGATTTGCTTTGTAGAATTGGATTTTTGAAATTGTGATAATTAATTCATGAAGGGTTGAGGATTTGATTCCTGCTTTCTGAGGTTTATTAATATTTAAAAGTCTGTATTTGAACCATAAAGAACTTTATCAAATTAAAGAGTGGCAAATCATTCCCCTTTGAAGAAAAGCATTATAATTTGCATTCAAATTCCTTCCTTATCTTTTAAAAAAGAGTAAAGGCAGCATTGATTTTAAGCCTCATTATATTTACTACCCCAAGAGTTGGCAAATGGAAATTATACTCAAACTATGAATGTAAACCTGATTACTTCTTTCTTCTGGATTAAACATATGTGCACACACCCGTATTTAAATATTAAGAAATCAACAACAATTATTGTACCCATCTGCAGTCTGAGCCCAATGACGGAACAGCCTTCCTCGCTTCTCTCCTCCTTCCCTCATACCCTCCCTTCCTTCTCTTCTCCTTCCCAAAGCATTTACTTTGTTACCAGTATGGGCTGGGTGTTGAGAACACAAAATATAATAAAATAGAATCTTTTCTACAGGGAAATTACAATCTGATGCCACATTACACAACTAGCTATAAAACAATACAAAAAGGGAAAGAACAAAGTATTACAAGAATAGAGAGGAATCGGAATTTGCAGGGTGTCTGGACACAGACTATACTGGAAAAAACCCTCCAAAGAGGACACTTCCTTGCTTTGATTTGGGAGGTCAGACAAGCCCAGGAGAGAGCCTAATGCCCTCGGTGGGGGGAGGGGCAGGCACGAAGCATCCAAGGCCAAGGAAAGATACAGTGAAATGTACAAGTACCCAGTACCTCTGCCTCGCAAGGTGATTAA